TCAATCCCGGAAAGCGCCATTCCTCATGCTTTTGCTACTCCTGCCGTCCGTTTAGGCGGCTGCTTCACTCTTTTGGCCGTCGATGTGCCCGCGGCCACCGCTTGCATGCGCACGAGAGGATCGGTCCGAGCCGCCGAAATTGTCGAGCCTGGACTTCTGGATCCACCCGCCGAGCTCCGGCTCAGCACTGCAGCTGTGTTGGCCTCACATCATGGCGTCGGGGTTCGGCAGGTCGGCAGGCCCGGCCGTCCCGAAGCAAAGGCTGCCTGCTGCAGCGGGAAGGACCCCACCAGACACCACGTGCGTTATATATGTTATTTTGAGGCGGCACCTCAACATTGGCCGCGTGGCCCAATGGCAAGGCGTCTGACTACGATACATTCGTATATCAGGAGATCGTGGGTTCGAGCCCCATCGTGGTCAATTTCTTTTGCCTCCCAGAGCTGCCCATCCGGAGGCGGCATGGCATTTTGTCCCTGTGGAAGATATGCTTGACCATCCGTACCTCGGAAGGAGGCGCCACAGGTGAAGGCTATTGGTGCAGCTCTAGTAGACCTTTACTGCTGCCAAAGGTGGAGAGGCTCTGTCAGGAGCGCAGCCTGGGCGGCCTTCTCTTTCTTTGTCTAGTCACCAGCTGTGAGGCAGGCAAAGCAAGGTGCATCTGACGTTCAGCCTGTCTATGCTGCATGCTGGGGACCTTGACCCTATTTAGCACTGAGCAACCCAGTACATCTAGCCGGTGGCGTGAGGCAGCCGACAATTGGAACAGGACCCCCCCCCCCCCTGGCTCTGACCCAACTCAGCCTCTGGCCTGCAAAACGAAGACAGTGTCTGCATGATTGACGTCACCGAGGGGCAAAGCGTTCAGACAGGCCCCACCAGAGTTACAAAACAAAAACCTTTGGCCCCGGTCAACCCGCAGCGGAGCAAAAGAGAAGTTGGAGGACCAGGGAGTCGAACCCTGCACCTCTCGCATGCTAAGCGAGCGCTCTGCCGATGAGCTAGACCCCCCTCGATGTCGACAGCTTTTGGTCTGCCTGTATCATGCCACAACATCGCGTTCCCGGCCAGATGAGCCACTTTTCCTTCCCAAATTGTGCCGCAAAAGCCCACAGGGGGCTCACAGAGGGCCAGTAAAGGAACTGCAACGCAAGGAAATCTCCTTAAGAAACTGCTGTGGCGTACTCAGGGCAAGAAACCTGCCCAAGTCTCAGTACAGCAAGGTTTGCCACCATCTCGGGCGCTCGCACAGCAGGGGGCCACAGAGGCAAAGCTTGCAGAGCCAATTGCACCCCTTCTGCGCACCAGAACAGTGAGCAGTTGGGCAGCCACAGGGTACAGCATGGAAGTGGAGACCTTCCTGACCATGCCGCGTAGAGAATGACCGCGTCCCTTGGAAAGCCACCATTTGTGAAAGCTCTCTGCTACAGCTATGCAGGTCCAATGCAGCTGATCAGGCGTACACTGTGACAAGGGCAGGGAAGCCTCGCTGCGCTCGGGCTCACTCCGCTCGCGCGCTTGCCCTGGCCCCCTCCGCACCCAGACTACCTTGCCAGCACCTTGCAAGACCCAACACCAGCACCAAAGTGTGCTGGAGGGAGAGATAGGATCCATAGGTGACACCTCTACAAAGCTCCTAAAGTGGGCTGGGCACTGGGCAGCATAGCCTAGCTGTGCTCAAGCTTGCTTTGCTGGGCAGAAATGCCCCCTCATCCCTGACTGTACTGCTCACTGAGCCTGCGCATCATGCAAGAGGACCTCAGGCTGCCTCAGAGACAACAGGCCTTGTTTCCGCTCTCCTTGTTTTGAATGAGCTGCCCTTTGGCCTCTGGGTCACTTCTCTCCTCTGAAACACCCTAAAGCAGCCCTCAAGAGATTCACTTGGAGTAACAGAGAGGTATGGGTCACTGCAGCAATCCCAACAGGACCACTGGGGACTACCCCTGTGCAGTGCAGTCTGCCACATGGCAGAGCAGTCCCCTACCTGCTCAAAGATAGGCACAGCAAGGTTTGCCACCTTCCAAGCGTCTTGCACAGCACAGCCACACAGAGACTGCTATCCTCACTGTATGTACCAAGCAGTGAGCAGCTCTTGAAGTGCTTTGCAGCATCGTGTCTGCAGAGGCCACCGGACCTTTGCATTCATTACAAGCAGATCTTTCAGTCAGGACTTGCTTAGAAAGCGCCGCCCAAGGTAAGGAGTGGTGCACCTGCCGGCCCTTGCTTGACTTGTGTGGCACTCAAGCTCAGGGAGCCTTTGCATCTCTGCCTGTACGGATGTGACCCATGGGTGGTTCTTCTACCAGATGCCACACAAGGCCCCTCCTCTGGTGGATCTTGGTCTTGTAACTTTGTGTGAACAGTTGTATCTTGAACTGCTCAAGACTGGCAGGGACCAAATTGAAATTTTCAGCTACAATTGCCTGATGGAGCTGCCTTTGCTTGAGCAATACCTCATTCTGTTTGGGACCAGTTTTAGGTATCCTGCCAGGCCTTCATGAAGGACATGCAAGGCTAGCCACATCTGGGAGGTGGCAAGCCTGACTGCCTCAGACCGCGTGCACGTGTGTAGGCTGCCCCATGTACCAGCACAGCAAGCGTGTAAATCTACAGTCAGAGTGTTAACTCCTGAAGGCAGGTATGAAGCCATGCAGTGCAAGGATACAGGGACCTTCCCAGCTAGAGTTGGCAGTTAGAATGCCTTTGGCCCTTGCCAGTGGTGCGCTGGTAGGCAGTCTGCTGCATAAAAAGGGCAGGCACTCACAGCTTCTGTGTGTGACTCTGCTTGGGAAGAGTCACCCACCAAGCAGGCAATCAAAGCCTTGCTGCCTTCGGCTAGAGCTGCTTGAGAGTGTGAGCGCAGGTGGCACCTTGTCGGACAACAACACTTTGAGCTCCTCATCGTTGCAGTCTTGCCCCTTGTCTTCAAGGACTGGCTTGCCAGTCTCAAGGTCTGTATCAAAGGCAATATTGTGGTCAGCAGAGTTGACAAGGTTTGAATGTAGGTTGGGGCTGTCAAGTCAGCATGCGCTTTCTATGGCTGGCGGCTCTTTGGCTTACCTTGGCCAAGATGTTAAGCTCCTTGCTGGTGTCCTATTGGTGTGCTGGGCCTGGTCAGCAGTGGCTTGCCTCTATGCCCTCACAGAACTGACCCTAAGAATGCAAGTGATGGCCCTGTCCGTTCAAACATTGATGGTGCCAGTACAGTGCAGCACGGGAGACATTGATTCAGAACCGGACAAGCGGGACATTGGGACCGCACTTTTGAGTTCCAGGGGTGTCACACCCATTGGTGGTGAGCGGGAGCGGCACAACAAGCGTGTCAGGGTCTAAGGCAAGTTTTGTCGCAGATTGCAGGGTTGTGGTGGGGCACATGAAGTCAGCTTTTGCTGTTGGAACAGTGAAGACAATCTCAAGATGCTACGACCTCAGGCTGTACCCTGCTGCGCTCTAGACAACATCCATGGGCATTGTGGTAATTGAGCGCATTGCGCGTCGCCTTGGTCCACAGGTCAACTATGGCATAGGGGTGTGGCACATCCGTCGCTGTGGTCCGCACCCAAAGTACCGCAGCCGCTTCATGCGGTACATTGAGCCAAAGTCATTCTGGCTGTGGCGGTAGCCGGCCCAATGATGGAACACCACAAACCTGTCAAAGCCGGGCGCAACGAGTTGACAGGGCCCCGCGTTGGTTCGAGGTGCTCGAACACCCTATTGCTGCGTGGTTGGGGTCGGCCGCAGTCTGAGGTGGGAACTGTGTCAACCGCCGGCGCGTTGTCTGCTCTGGCCCATTTGAGGGTGATCAAAGTCAGGCAAGGGATTGTCTCAAGGAGCTTTCTGAGCGCCTCCATCTACGGGAACGAGTCTTGAATTAGTGCGCAACCGACCCGCTCGACGACAGTGACCCGGCGTCACCTGTTCTGTTCCTGCACCTCTGACAGCGCTGAGCGTGAGAACCTCAAGGGTGACGGGCAGCAACAACGGGATGACCATGGAGAAGTTGTAGGCTGCAACCTCGACCAACTCGAGCTGTGTGCCGGCCTCTTTGTTTGCCCAGAGCAGGTAATTAATGAATGTCTCCCAGTAGCTGGCAGCGTGGAGTCGGGCTCGTCCTTGACGTCAAGCAGCTGCACGCGCACTGAAAGGTGCCGGAGCGGAATAGAACCGTCGCCCTGTGGAACATGCTTGCGCTATCAGCTTGTTGGGTCTGGCCGGACACCAGGCTCCCTGTCGACTCATGCGAAGTTTCAGTGTGTCAATTGCAGCCATGTGGATGCCATCATAGACATCAGTGGCGACAATGTTGAGGTCTTCAACCGAGGCCCATGGGATGACGTAATGGGCCCGCAACTTGCGCGCAATGATCTTGACAAGGCGCTCACCTGAGCTGTTGGACAAGGCACCCACCTGAGCTGTCCACCGAGTTGACATGCACTTCATGGTTCCCAGCAACATCCAGCACTTTTGGGCGTATCTTGCCCCTCACATTGGCCAACAGTCACAGTGCCATTGTCGTCTTTGTTTTGTGGGGCGTCCACCGGAGCAAGGCTGTTGCTGACGCCGAGGCCTACGTGCGCTGTACCTTGTTGGTCGGGCCCTTGCGAAGGGTGCAGTCCCCCGAGCAAAGTTCGGCAGCGTCTCACCAACTTGGCGGTCATCAGCGTCCCGCTGCCAGACCAGGGCGACGCCTACTCATGCGGCGCGATTGTCTTTCACGTCGGTAACGCCGTCCTGCAGCGCGCAACCACCGTCCGCGCGTGGGTTGTTGACACCCTTGCCAACACGACGCTTGCGGTGTCTGCAGACGGCTCAATCCAGGCAACTTCATTACCACCCGGTGAGCCCGGGCAATGGCCGGCTGACCGCCACCTGGCGCTGCGATCTCGAGCAATTTGAGCAACGCCAGGGCGTGCTTGAGTGCCTCACAGATTGTGAGTTCATGTCCGCTTGGATCATCGAGGGCGAGATGCTCTCAGCAAGGCACCAAGCTGAAGATGCACTCAAGCTCAGCGCGGTGCGGACATCTCTATGTGTCGGACAATCACTCCGCTGCTGCACCCGAGGGTTCTGATCCAATTGGCCACCAGCGCTGCGTCAATTCCAGGGCAAGATGCAGCACAGGACATTGGACCGGCAAGGCGGGAGGGTTGTGAGGGCGGAAGAACAGCTGCCAGGCAGCAAGCCAGGGCAAAAAGGCTGACCACGATGGGGCTCGAACCCACGATCTCCTGATATACGCTTGAATCGTAGTCAGACGCCTTGCCATTGGGCCACGCGGCCTTCGCTGTTGAGGGCGTCAACAATTACAGCTATCAAGCGCAAAATTCTGAAACAGAAACACCCCTGCCCGGCACGCCCTTGCCGCAAACGGCACAAAGACAACTGCCCACAGTAAGTGAGTGGCCACACAGGAGCGCTTCAACAGAGCCCCG